CCCTGGTCCGGCTGCTGCCGGAGCTCCTGCAGCTGGTAGACATCTTCCTCCATGTAGACGTCCCTCATCTCCAGCATCTCAGCGCGCAGCTCCTCAATCTCATCCTGCAGGGAGATGCATGTTCGAGGGGAGGGATCCCGCAGCTTGGTCTCCCCTCTTTCCCCCCCGGGACACCTCCCCACCATGGCCCCGCTGCTCTCCTCCATCCCACGAGCTGTTTTCACAGACCTTCAACCCCTCGGGTCAAACCCCAGCCTTGCAGGGAAAGGGCTCAGAGCCAGCTGGGCACCATCACCCACTGGCAAGGCAGCCACCCGGGGGGGGGACAGCTGACACGGGCGCCTATAAATATTTGCGGTAAAAGAAAGAGGAAGGTGGGGGAGGGAGAGGAGCTGCAGGAGCAGCACAGGCGGCAGCCACGGCAAGAAAAATGTAGGTCGTCTTTGGAAAAGATGTGTCAGGGAGGCAGGCGAGGGAAGGAGGAGACGGCAGGCGAGGACAGGGGAGGCAACGCGGGGACACGAGCAAGATGCCACCACCGCCAGGGACCAGAGGTTGCCCCTTGTTTTGCCACCACGCAGCAATCGCTGGGCTGGGTCTCCCTTCCACTTCTTCCCAGTCTCATCGGCTCTTGCAGTGACGAACCTCTCCCAGCCCCGCTGAGCCTCCGGCGCGGGGCCACAGTGTCACTGTCGCAGCAGGGCCAGGGGTGACGTCCTGCTGGCACCAGCGCCAACCCAAAGCCTCCTCTGGGTCTGTGGCACGTGATCACTGCAGGACCCCCTGCAGCAGCCGCAGCCCCAGTGCAGGGCTACGGCCATGGGGATGCTCAAGGACTGTCCCCCCTCTGGTCCCTGGGGACCCACATGGGCTGCCCACGGCTCTTTTCACGACCCTGCAAACACAGTCACAACCCAAATCCTCCAAGCAATCATTCCAACTGTCACACTGGTTGTTCTCCTTGACAAGACCCGGTGGACCCAGCCTGCACCTGGGAAGGGATCGAGCATCTGCTTTCCTGCCAAAAATCCCCAGCACAAAACACCTCCCATCGCCGCCAAAAGCAACTGCCGCTTGAGAGGTGAGGGGCTCACGCTGGCGCCTTGCGCCGCAGCACGGCCTCGGTAGGGACAAGACGGGGATCCAGCACAGCCCCAATTCGACCCAGACAGAGGGTGACAGGACCACGCTGCTCCCGACACCGCCCGTGACAGTGTCCTACAGCCCGAGACAGCAGCACCGCGCCAGTTCTGCCAGGCGCTGGCACACTCGCTGCCGCGCTCGCCCAGCCCGGACAAAGCCCCAGCTGCAAGAATTCCCCCGAAAAGCGAAGCTGAGCCCGGGGGGGTGGGGGGGGGGGGCAGCAGCTGCGGGGACAAGTCACAGTCGCGCACTGTTGGCTTTAAACACTACGTGATAAATAAGGAACGTCAATTAGACAATCCCAGATTATCTCCTAGCCCGGGCTGCAAGAGCCCAGCGGCACCATGGCCACCAGCATCCTGCCACCCTCTGCCACTCTGCTTCTTGCTGGAGGGTCTCAAGAACAAAAGCAGAGCAGAAACAGCCCCTGAGGCAGCGAGATGGGCAGCGGGGTGTCCCAGGGAGCATCCCACGAAGGAGCATCAGGCATGAAACCCCCCAGGGATGAACCACACATGCCGGCAGACAGCCCTGCGATGGCTGCGATGCACCCTGGGGCGACGACCCCGATGGAAACCCACAACCAGCACTGCCCACCCCACCCGGCAGTGCCACCAGTCCAAGGACACCAGCAAAACCCCTGTAAGCCAAACCAGTGCGGGGAGATAGTTTATGGCATCTATCCCTTGGGAGCTTTCATGGCAAAAAAACCACATTATGCATCGCAGGTGAGCCGGCGCTCTGCAACGGAGTGGTGGAAAACCACCTTTCCCCACCAAAATCAGACAAATCATGGTCTTGAATAATATCGCTGTGATATGCGGGGCTGCCCGTGTCCTGCTCCAGCGCTGACCGTACCGGCTCCTGTTAGCCGTGCGGCTTCCCCAGGCAGGAGCCAGGCAGGGCAGGGAGCGGGGACCTTGGAAAAAACCCAACCAAACCTTACATGTGCTGGAAGGAAGCCTGGGCTCGCCGTGCTAAGAGCTCCTGCTTGTTTACACCTCGGGTTGTAGCAACCGTTACTTGATGGGGCGGCCGTGTCCGGCACGAGCCGCCGCCGGGGCAAAGCCCGGTGGCACAGCCCTGCGCTGCTCCTTCGCCGGGTGGTCCCGCAGGGAGCGGGGCTGGGGGGCTCGCAGCAGGGCCTCCCTTCGCTCCAGCTGCAGGAATTCGCCCGTACCCTGTAACGCCAATAAACCCAGGCAGCCGCCGCAGCCCAGCCGCCCCACAGCCCGCCCCGAGCGTGCCCCTGCCGCTAAGCCGTAATATAACTGGATTAGGATCGGAGAGCAGAAAAGTGGCAGCAAACTGGAAGAGAGCTTAGGGTGGCAAAGCTGATCGCCTCCACGGCCGGGCTGCGGCGGGCAGAAGAGCCCTGCGGCTCCTGGAGGCAGCGCACGGGGTCCCCTGATGCCTTCGGGGGTCCGTGGCAGCCACCGAGCCTCACCCTTTGCATCTCCACTTTTTCTGGAGTTGATGGCCAACTTAGCAAAATCAAAGCAAAAAATCCATTTGGATCAAGGCGAGAGCAGAGCCAGGAGCGGGGAGGGAGCCCCTAGAAACATCCCAAATTCAGGGCTGGCATTGTGAGCGTGAAGCACCGTAAGCCATGCTAAATAACGTGTGAAACAGAGGGGAGGTGGGCAACACTGAGGACGAGATAAATAACTTCTTTTCAACACAACTGCCTGTGGGGGCTGCCAGGCTCGGTCACTCATCCCATAAACAAAAAGGCACCCACCCCTACAGCCTCCCACCACCTGTGGGCTGCTCACCCCCTCCATCCCCCAGGATTATCCACCACTGCATCTGTGCTCACCCCAGCTCTGCAACAGCAAAGGTTACATGGGGGTTTTAGGCCAGAAGTCACCTGCCTTGGAAAAGATCCTGGGGATCTGCAGTCCAGGGAGCCTTGTTTCAATGCCCAAGGGACGACGGCGAGCAGAAGCAAACACCTCACTTGTGTTTGCAGGAGCCTGGTTACACTTGGTGGAGGAACCCAAGAGACAACACACCCCTTCAACCTTCTCTGAGCATACCTCGGAGAAACCGTCTCTCCCTGGGGAGGTTATTAAGGAAACTAAGAAGCGGCAAGGTGGGATACAAACTGTCTGGTTCCAGCTCAGAAAAAAGCTCACGCATTTTCAGAGTAGAAGGTAACAGCTACAGCCATGTCCGCACCGCCCACTTGCAGGACATCACCTCCTCCAGGAAGGACAAGAGCTGGAAGGGGCTGAGCTTTAGGGTGATGGCCCTTGAGGGAGACCAGAGGAGATGGCAGAGAACACCTCAAAATGCAGATGAGACCCATCATGGCTTGCGGCAGAAGAGTTAAACCCTCGGATCTCCTGCCCAAGGGGAGTTACGCACCAGCTTAGGCGCCTGCAAGAATGCAGCGAGCTCCGAGCAGACCAGGGGACTCGCGCTGCGCAACGCTCGCAGCTCCTCAGCAGGACCCGCTATCTTCAAGAAGCAGAAAGCAGCAACGGATACAAAACAGGATCATGCAAATAACGACATGGCTGGCTGTCGTGCTGCTGACAGCCCGCACGCCCGCAGCTTTGGCAGCCCCAGGCTCTGGGGCGCAGCCAAACAGCAGCCGCCTGCCCGCGGGGGACAGGCAGCCCTCCAGGGAGCACAGCCCTGCCGGCATTCCCACCCTACACCCGCACCCCAAAACCTCGGGGCAAGATGCAAAGGAGGAGAAAGGGTGGAAGCCGCCGGTATGTTTTGCATCGACGCCTTTGTGCGGAGCTCGCGGCCGCGCCGGCGGCGGGTACGCCCGTGGGAGAGCCCGCGATCCCCCGTGCAAAGATGGGGATTAACATCCAGGAGCAACAAGCACCGCTTCCTCCGAGATTACAGGACAAAAGCAGGAGCTTTCAATTAACTCTGAAGCCCCCACCAGACAGCAGAGGGAATTATGCTAGAATTTGCTAGGGAAAAAAGTAAAATCAGAGGGGATTTCTAAAGGCAACTGCGCGGGGTGCCCAGGCATGTGCCCTGCTAGCAAATGCAGCTCCCTCCGAGCCCACCGCGCCGGGGTGCAACGGGTCAAAGGATGGGTGAGGGACACCCATGTGTCACACACAGGGGTTTCTTTAGATGCATTAAGAGCAGCTCTAGCCCAGCTCCGACAGTAAACATTGCCCATTCTTCCTTCCATATCACGCTGGAGCTCAGCGCAGCGGCCGGCGTGCCGAGCCCTGCCGCTGGCCGGGACACCCGCTCCCGCTCGGCAGAGAGCGCGGCACGTCAGCGAGGGAAAAATCAACATTTCTCAGCCTTACACCTGCCCCCATAAATTAACAGGCAAACAGCTGGGGGCTCTCCGCAGCCCAACACACACGTCCTGCAGCATCCAAAAAGGCAAAAGGCTGCAAAGCCCCTTCCAGGGTGGCTGCTGGTGGGGTGACACTGCACCCCGTCTCTGCCTGTGGTCACCGGGACCCCCGAGCACGGTGCCTGTCCCTGTGGCTGGGTAGGATCTGACCAGCAGCGGAGCTGGGACCCAGCGCCAACACGGCTGCCCAAACACAACCTCCGGGTCCCCCATGCAGCCCCAGGTACCCCTGCGGGATGCTCTCAGCGAGCCCTCGTCCGTGGCATGCACCAGTCCCTGGCTGATTCGGGCAAAACACGGCACCCACCCACCCGACATGTTTCTCCACGGAGCCGGGAAACACATATGCAAACCCTGAGGGACCCTGGGCAACGCGGGGCCGGGAGCGGGCAGCAGGAGGGAGCAGGCAGGACTGCACTCCCGGCACTACGTGGCTCTCGCCTAAGCCCCTTCCCGCGGAGAGGAGAGGGTTTGCAGGCAATCCCCTCCCCTCGCTCCAAACCCTCTCCCGTGCCCACTCTTTGTCTGCCTGTCCCTCCGCAGCTGCTGCCGTATCGCATCTCACATTTTCCAGCCCGCTGAGCAGGGCCGGGAGCTGCTCTCCATCGCACGGCTCGG